ACAAGGCGTGGACACGTGGAACAGAATGACGGCTGTCAGATGGCGGGGGAGAGAGGGCTGGATGAAAGAAGGTGAAAGGATTAGCCAAAGAACATGTATGCACAATCCATAGACACAGACAACAGTGTGGTGATGCCCAGAGGGAAGAGGTAATGAGGGCTGGGTGGAAGTAGGTAAAGGTGGCAGGGGAATGGGGACATCTGTAATAGTGTCAACAATAAAAATAAAGTAAAAAACTGTTTTCATACCTTAATTTTATCTATAAAATTTCTACTTTTTGAATATGTTAATTTTTGCTTATAGCAGTGAATTTAAAACATATATAAAACAATTATTATATTAAGAATGTTATGGTCAGAAAATTTTGGAGATTTTTCATCTGAAAAATTACCCACAAAGTTGTTAGAAGGATGGCAAGATGGCAGTTTGGGAGAAATGTGAGGGGAAGGAGAGACTTATTAAATCAAAGATGTGTACACTTATGATAGCACAACAAATCAACCCATACTCTCATGCCAATTTTAATCACGCCAATGCTCAAAGACAACAACAGCGTATTACAGGGCCAGAAATTAAGTGTAAACCTCTCTCCTGGTCATACTAGGGCAGCAGCCTCAGTGTTTTAACAACTCCCACTGAAATTTGGATTCCCAAAGCTCCAACAAATCTGCCTCCAAAGTGGTTCATAGCTTTATAAAAGAGGCAGAAAATAGTATGCAGAGTCATAGACATATTATTCATATTTTCAATATTGAATAATCCCCTGAACATGTTGGGCCTTACACTGTGCCTTTAGAGCAGGTAAGAGAAAATATTATAGAGAGCTAATGCATTATAATATATTGAAGATGGTGTTGTAATTTCGTGTTTGCTGGAAGGAAAGGATGTGGCTTTTGAGAAATCACATCTTCTATCAGTAGGGGGCAGTCATGTAACCATTTCACAATGAGCTATATCCAACAATTGCTATAAAAAATTTAAAGGATATATGCTCCTAAAATGATATAGCAGAATAAAATTTGACAGTGGATGGTAAGTGATTAGAGATGATAAATTAAGTAAATCCTGAACATCCAGATGACCCATATCATCATTAAAAATATGGAAAAGCTAGAAACTTTATTTTTTGCTAAAAAGAATATTTTTCTCTTCATGAAGTTTCCAATGTTGACAGAACATGTAAATAAGCATATCATAATGACAGTTGGAGAAGGAGCTAGAGTCAGAGAATTCATGATCAAAACTAAATATTTGGAAAATCTCTGTATACAGCTTACCATTAGACCATAAATATAAATGAAATCTTAAAGAAATAAAGAGGGAGAAATCTTTACAAGATGTTCATATTCAAGGGAATAAATGGAAATATGGATAATTCTGGAAACTTGTGAATATTTTAAATAGTTGGGAAAGTATCAAGAAAAATGTTTAACAAAACAGAGAATAGCAAGTTTCCAAATTCTTAAAGGCAGTCAAAAACATAAATTCAAATAGGGAACATGAAGAAATTTTAAAACTGGTTTCGGTTGGATTTGCCATATGCCACTGATTTTCATGTAGTGAAAGATATTTGAGTCCAAGCAGCTAAATAGTATTAGAAAGCTGTATTTAAAAATACTAAATTATATAGTAACAATAATTTTGACTGAAGAATGAGAATAAAAGTATATAATGGTTTATGTTTTGTTTAATTCACAAATTGTAAAAGTCACCCATTTTAAGTACACATTTTAATGATTATTATATTTGCATAGTTATGTGACTATTGCCACAATCTTATTTTAAATCATTTTCATCATCACAAAAAGAAAACTCATTCCCATTTACACCAGTATACTTTTGTCTCTATGAATTTGTGTTACCTAGATATTTCATATGAATGAAATATACTACATGTGGCCTTTTGTGTCAGGTTTCTTTTACTTAGTATAATGTTTTGAGGTCTGTCTGTATTTTAGCATTTTATAACTTTTGAAAAACAAAATCAATCAAGATTGAAATTATGTTTATTTTCTTAAAATACCTATAATGGAAGAGGAAGGAAATAGTTACTTGGATGTTATTTTATATTAATACATTTTGTATTATATTAATATATGAGCAAGAGCACAAATGCTCATATCCAAACACTTAATAAAACAAGCCTTTGCTCATTCCTTTCCTAAAAGGGGTTTATATTGAAAAATCTCAGGATTGTAACCTTGGATTTCACAAATGACTCAGATCCCACACATGCCCTCCCAGTGCTCATTCTGTGCCTGACCAAGAGCTTATACATGTACCATTTCACCTAATATTCACCACATCCCTCTGGGGTAGTCCTGCTTCTAGGACTTGTGAAAATTTACTTAATTACATGGATCTTGAGTTTTCATTTACTAAATAAGGTGTGGAAAACAAATACTACAAATTTCTTTCCTAGCTCTAACATTATTATTATCCAAAATACATCACAAATTAAGTAAAAGTAATTATAATAAATGTGCAAATAATTATTCGAGAGAAAATTTTCTTGACTGATAGAATTTTTGTCTTAACTGTGTGATAATTTCTTTTATATTATTTATATTGCTTTTATATACTCATAATATAAGAATACACATATGAAATGTAGAACTGAAGAACTATTTTTAGAAAACTTTCCTAGGAAAAGAAGGAGAGGAATAAGAGAGACAAACAATGGGAAGGCCATCACATAAGTGAATCCCAGCTTTCCCTTTGATATAAAAGGGCAAAATAAAGGCTTTTAAAATAAATTTATGCTTAATTATATTAATTGTATATCCAAGTTTTTCTGCTGTTATATCATGGAGCATAAAAATCCATGTAGCAGAAGTATTCAGTCCCAAATTACAACTGGCATATTCATTCCATCTAATAACTATCAAGACTTGTCATTCTCCAAAGTGCATCTAATTATTGCTCTCTCTGTCACAAAATCTCAGCCACAAAATTTCTGCTCACTCACATAATCATCATGTACCACAACCTTACAAAGGAGGGGTGGGGAGGTAGCAGTCCTCTCTGTGCTCCTCCAGATGCAGCCAATCATTAAGCACCCACTCCATGTGTTCCTAAAGGCTGACCTAGAGGGGCTACACCACCTTCATCTTTATTTACCCTAATTTATAGGTATTATCTGTTTCTTAAAAATATCTGAGTGAGGAAAGCAATTGAGGGAATTAAGTTTGGATAATGGTGATAGGATCTTTTTGGCAAGAGCCTTAGTAGAAATGAAAATAAAGTGAGAATTACGGATGATTGAAGTAAGGAGAACAGACACTCACTATGCATCTTCATATCTTAATTCAGACCCTTTTCTAAATACACCACTCTTTTTTTCACTGCTCTTAATTCTTTTCTTCCTGTAAATTATCACACATTCTCTAAGCCTGTCCTTTTTTGTTTACTGACAATGAGAATTGCTTTTACTTTTAATACATTTTGAAGATAATAAGTTAAAGCCATATCTGAAAGTGCCACTTGAGATTGGTCGACATTCTTTTTAAATTCTTGCAACATGTTGCATATACCCTATACTAAATTTAATATTTTCTTATATGATGTATTGCTATTTTTGTTTGATAATTACCTCTCTCTAGATTGTGAACTTTCTAGACATAGGACATCAATTTATTCTGTATAAGAAAAAACACTGCAGTTAATTACAACTTAAGGGATTCCAACATATTTATTGAATCATATCTCCTAAGGAATTCACAGGTAACATGTGAATTAAATAAATATTTAATAACTTGAACATAAATATGCAGTTATTTATTTTTGGAGGCAACATGGTATATTGGTATGAGCCCAGATTCTGTTGTCAGACTGGGCTTGTCGCCAGCTTTGAGCCTTGTTTGCCGTGTAACTATGAGTAAGTCATTAAATACTTTTATGCCATAGTTTCCTTATCTGGAAAAATTAGAATAACAATAATACTTGGGGTTGTTATGAGAATTAAATATATTAATGCATGGGAAACACTTAGAGCTTAGCACATAATCAATTACTTGTTATTGGTCAATTTTGATCACTCTGGATCCTATGAACAATGTCTAAAAAGCCAAGATGATTTATTATGATATTTTACAACAAAGCAAACTCTATATGTTAGGATTGAATTATTTCATTACTTTTATCTAAAACATCACATAGATACACTTACACATAATAGACACACTCCTCCCTGTGAACAATGGTAATACAAGGATTTAAGAAAACAAGCTCAGAAAGATCTGAAGCTGAGCCCATGCTTCCTAAAATACTCAGTATCCTACACAACAAAAACTAAAAGCAAAATTATTTTTAATGAATTCAAAGACTATTTTACATGTATAAATTAGTCCCTAACTTTGTTTATGTGCACTTGTTTGTTTTAGAACCATACAATGACCTTTATAAACTAATTCAGAGATATAAGACAATTCCTTCATCTTCCAAATCCTAATATTTTATATTTAGTGAAAACATAATCTCAAGGGGTGACACATATAGAAAACTATAATAATAAAAGGCAAAATAAATATAATCTAGCTAGTTATCTAGTTGTTTTATATGTGCATGTTAGTGACAAAATCAGGATCAATTGTTGAGTATCATTTGATAGAATACAGTAGAAAACAAAATTTTAGTTCTTCAAATGCTCTTTAATTAATGCATAAATATAAGAATATTGTTTCCAAGTGATGTGAGCCATAAAATAATCTTAAATTATAAATAGTGATGTGCTGATATATTTAAGATTATGTGCTTTCATTTTACCAACTATTATTCATTAAATAGAAATAGAAAAACATAGGTGGTAACTGTAGCTTAATTTTTTTTTTATTCTTTTTGTATAAAGTAACTTCTGGGACTTTGTTTTCCACCCTAACAGATAACACATTTACATTTCAATGAAGATTTCTAAAGGCTTAAGGAAATATAAATTTTGAGCAAGTCAGAGGAATTTGATTTATTTTATGTCTAAAATTCTGTGACTTCTCTCAGTTGAGTAAATGTATCTTAAAAATGAATCTGTAGTGACTGAATTTATCTTACTTGGATTTTCTGGAAGATGGGAACTTCGTATATTCTTCTTTTTTACTTTCTCCTTGATCTATAGTGCTACCGTGTTGGGAAATATTCTCATTATGGTTACAGTAACAGTTAGCTCCACCCTTCATTCTCCTATGTACTTCCTACTTGGAAACCTCTCCTTTTTGGACATGTGTCTCTCCACTGTCACCACACCCAAGATGATCGCAGGCTTGCTCACTGAAAACAAGACCATCTCCATATGGGGCTGCATGGCCCAGATGTTCTTTATGCACTTTTTTGGGGGGGCTGAAATGACTCTTTTGATAGCCATGGCCTTTGACAGATATGTGGCCATATGTAAACCCCTGAACTACAGGACAGTCATGAGCCACAGGTTGCTTAATGGGTTTGTGATACTTTCATGGACAATTGGTTTTGTACACACCATGAGCCAGATGGTATTAATTGTGAACTTGCCTTTCTGTGGCCCCAATGTTGTAGACAATATATTTTGTGACCTTCCCCTTGTGATTAAGCTTGCTTGTATCAAAACATATACCTTGGAATTATTTGTCATTGCTGACAGTGGGTTGCTCTCATTTATCTGTTTCATTCTTCTGCTTGTCTCCTACGCTGTCATCCTGGTCACTGTATGGCGAAGATCATCTGAAGGGCTCTCCAAGGCTCTGTCCACATTGTCTGCACACATCATTGTAGTCACTCTCTTCTTTGGACCTTGTATTTTTATCTATGCCTGGCCATTCAATAGTTTTGCAGGCAGCAATATCCTTTCTGTGTTTTACACTGTTATTACACCCTTACTGAATCCTATTATTTACACCCTGAGAAATCAGAAAATGCAAGGCACCATGAGAAAACTGTGGTTCCTACTTGTTAGCTCCACACAAAACTAGATTTAAGCTCTATATAATTAACACAATTTTCAGGAACTATGCTAACAGAACTTGAATAGATTATATACAATACTTGGTTTTACTCTTCTTATGTTAAAATCATAACCACTGAAGAAAAAGTTAATAATAAAATATTTTTAATTCACACAAGGCAATTATAACACATTATGATAATTAGCAGCCTGCAGCAAAGTAGACATGAAATCACTGAGCACTTTTACATAGACATTTAGGTATATTTACTAGTAAATAAATAAATATTTAAAATGTGGGAAATATTATTAGAGATGATTTTAATAGATACAGATTTTTACTGACATTCATAAACTTACATTGTTAAATGAGGTACCAATGACAAATAATGATTGAAATAATGTCACCAATGATGGGAAAAAATATGATTCTAATCTCTTGAACCAATGAGAGAAAAAATAATAATGAATAATTAAATTTGACTTTATAGTGAATATAAGCTGCCAGAGTGAATATATGATACCAGAGAGGGGAAAAACCAATGGAAAGACAATTTCAGTATAATTACAAAGAGCAGCTATGGAACCCAATGCTTCCAGAACTATTATAAATATTCACAGTTGACTGTCAAACCTCCATAAATAAAAGTAGAAGCATACTTCTTGGTTTTCCATAATATATCATGTAACTTTTTCTTTCCAAGTGTTTTGTGTAAGGCTACAGTTAAATTTGTCTCTTGCAGGTTTGTGATCTTTATTGTAATTATAAGCTAAATCTGATTTGCTTGGGAGTATTGATGAGGGGGCAGTGCATGTTTAATTAAGAATCCCATACTTATCACTGGTTAATTTTAAATATTCTTTCCCAATTCAAGTTAAAACATTTCTTGTATGCTCTAGTCAATAGCTTTGTAATTGATTCTAAACCACCACATTAACGCTCCCTCCCTTCAATGCTTTCTCTACAAACATCTGGAGTGATGTCATTAAAATACCATTCTCAGTGTTTCTTTCTTGACTAAAACTGTTTCATGCATTAAAACTTAGGTTCATATTCTTAACTGGACTTAAACCCTACGTAATATGGCCTAACCTTGGAATTTTTGCTTCACAATACTCTTTTTCACACTGACCTTCTTTCAAGCTCTTAAAGTATCAGCATCCTCTTAGGAATTTTTCCAGACATTTCCCTTCACTAGGAATGATCTACCACCTCCACTGACCTAACTCCCTGTTACAGCATAGGACCCATTTTAGAACACCTTTCCTGTATGTCCTTGTCCAGTTTCGAGTTCTTTATTTTACTCATTTGTAGCATGCTGCAATTTCTATCTTTTGCATAAACTATGGTAGTAATTACTTGTGTAATTATAGGTTAAGTTCAGCTTTGTTTTTAGGCTATAAGTTCCATATATCTTCAGTATCTAGCATACATTTTGGCATACAGTAGTTTTTATATATTTATTGAATGAATTTTAAAAATGAAATAACTATATTCTAGCACACTGTTACTCAATTAGACATATAACTAAGAAATACATGCACCTCTATTGTGAGATCCTATCTGTTAAAAAGATGAGAGCATACAAGGGCACATGATGCTTATATATTTCGGTAATTGAACTGCAGGAATTAGATCCTTTTAATTAAATCAAAAGAATTGAATACATGAAAAATTTAAGGCAAACAGAGGAGAAGAAATAAACCAAGTTCACCTATGTTTATTGGAGCATTATTTATAATAACCAAGTTTTGGAAGCATCCCAAGTGTCCATCAGTAGATAAGTGGATAAAAAAAAAGAGCTGTGATACATTTACACAACATAATACTACTTGGCTGTAAAAAAGAAGGGAATCTTACCCTTTGCAACAGTTTGGATGGACCTGGAGAGCACTATGCTAAGTGAAATAAGCCAGTCAGAGAAAAACAAATACCATGTGATTTCACATATACGTTGAATCTAATGAACAAAATTAACAAACAAAATAGAAATAGACTTACAAATACAGAGAACAGACTGACAGCTGTCAGAGGAGTGGGTATTTGGGGACCTGGGTGAAAAAGGTGAAGGTATTAAGAAAAAAAAAGGACCTCATAGACACAGACAACAGTGAGGTGATTACTGGAGGGAAAGGCAGTCGGGGAAGTAAAATAGGGTGAAGTTGGGATAAATGGTAATGGAAGGAGACAACTTGGGGTGGTAAACACATAGTAAAATACACAGATGATATGTTATAGAGTTGTACACTTTAAACCTATATAATTTTATTAACAAATGTTACCTCAATAAATGCAAAAAAAATCTTTAAAAAACAAACAAAGCAAGTTCAGAATATTTTCTAAAAGAAATTATATAAATAACAAACAAAATATTTCCATCTTATATTATAGCACATCTTATATTGAAGGCATATTAATCATGGATAAAGTAAAATATATATCCAGTGGTGGATGAAATTATATTTCAGTTGATAAAAGATTAGGTAAGGTTTCTGTGTCTGTTGTATAGCACACTGAAGATCCTGAACCTCTCCTCTTACAAAACATCTTAAGTTGCTAGGACCATTTATAATAACTGTTTAAATCAATTAAAGATGCTAAAAGAAAGTAAAAAAAATCATGCCTGAGGCCCAGTACGAAGTTTGAACTTTATTCCAGGAAAGTAAAATGCCACTGAACTGTTGCCCACTCTGAGAACGTCTACAGAATACCATTGCCTACAGGTCTTTCAAATTTGGAAGAGCACTGGGGACTGGGCTTTGAGCCTGGCCAGGGAAGGAAATTGATGCGAGACCATTTTGAGGGATCCAATTTTTTAAAAAGGGAATAATAATAAAGCCCACCTGGGAGAAACAGGAAAAAAAATGTCTATCTCAAATTTGATTCTTGGTGGAAATGAAAATAAATCCTAACAAGGATTTGGCTTGTCATCACATTCTTTGTTATGTTCTATCCCATCTTTGTGAGAATTCTTTTTTAACTTGCTACTGAAGGGTACAGGCTCAGGATCTGGCAAAGAAAACACGAATATTCACTGAAGAAAAACACTCCTGGAGAACAGGTTACACTGAACTCTCACCATAAGTTTTTAAAAATAAAAAATTACATGATAAATAATAATCACAACATAAATGAGAGTCAGGTGAAAGTAAAAAGACAATGGAAGAAAATATTTATAAATCATGTATGTGATAAGGGACTTGTGTCTAGGATACATAAAGACTCTTTCAATTCTAGGATAAAAAGGCAAATAAGGCAATTAAAAATCGGCAAAGGATCTAAATAGATGTCTCCAAACAGATATACAAATGGTCAATAAGTGCATGTAAAGATGCTCAAATTTAGTCACTAGAGAAATCAAAATCAAAATCACAGTAAGGTACTACTTCACATACACTAGGATGACTATATTTAAAATGACAGACAATAAAAAGGAACAATTAAAACCCTCATATATTGCTGGTATAATGTAAATTGGTATAATAATTTTGGAGGGAATTTTGGCAGTTTCTCAAAATTTTAAACATAGAGTTACCACATGACCCAGCATTTCACTCTAAATATATACATAAAAGAAATGAAACCACATGTCCACACATAAAAAATTGTACATAAATGGTTATATTAGCTTCAATCATAATATTTAAAAAATTGAAATAACCAAAATGTTCTTCAACTGATGAATAGATAAACAAAATATGGTGTATCCATATAATGAAATATTATTTGTCAATGAAAAGGAATCAGGGATTGACACATGCTATACATGGATGAATCTTAAAAGCATTAGGCTATGTGAACGAAATGAGTCACAAAAGACCATATATTGCATGAGTCCTCTGTATGAAATGATCATAATAGGAAAATCTTTAGAGGCAGGAAGTTGATTAATGGTATCTAGGTCTAGGGGAAGGGAAACAGGGATATGGTCTTTTGCGATTGGTTTCTCTCCTTTAGCCTAATGGTTTCAAAATTAACCACATGCACCATGCTTCAGTACTTGGTGCTAGGAGTGATGTCAGCAACATAGCAGAGAAGGAATCCCTCCTTTCTGCCACAAACACATCAATTCAACAACAATTCATGGACAAATTACCTTTGTTAAAAATCAGAAACTAATTGAAAGTATCCCACACCCTACAAGAATGAAAACCAGATTCACTGAAGCTGTAAGGAGTTTCAGGACATCCTTTCACTAGAAACTCTGCACCTGGCATACAGGCACCAATACAACTTAGCAATAAGCAAACTCCACTATTTATAGGAATTCTTCTCCCCTGTATTTTTCAAATAACTGAATCATTCACTGGCAGTATCATTCCTTCCCAACAGGATGTGTTCCTAGATCATCACCAGTGAAATCTCCAGCAGTCAGGCATTTGTACTATGCCAGGGCTTATTTGTGCCTCTTCTACACTTGCAGAGGAGACATATTTGCTTACCAGGTAGTGAGTGAATCAGTCACAAAGCCTCATTTATCACCTCTTTTCTCAGACCACTCCCAGTACCAATGATGTTAGGTTAGGTCATCTGACAAGTATATACCAGAAAAGCACATTCACACAGTGGTATATTACTCAGTACAAAATTTTATTTTATTTTTAACTAATTGTTATTTTTTATTTATTTTTCTTAATGTTGTTCATGTAAGTTGTCTCCACTTTCCCCCATCCCACCCACTGCCACCTTCCGCCCTCAATCCGAGCCCCCTTTGGCTTCGTCCATGGGTCCTTTATACATGTTCCTTGATGATCCTTCCCCTTCTTTTCCCCGTTAGCCCCCTCACCCCTCCCCTCTGGTTACTGTCAGTTTATTCTTTATTTCAATGTCTCTGGTTATATTTTGCTTGTTTGTTTTATATTGTTCAAGTACAGTTGTAGTAATAAATTTAAAATTCTTTTAAAACTAGTACATAAAACACCATAGCTACAACTCTAAAACATTGTTATGTTAGGGAAAAGACACTCAAAAGCAAAGAGTGAAATTTTATTTAAATGAAATTCAAGAATAGACAAAACTGATATTTA